GGTAAATTTAAAATTGTAACTGCTGTAAAGAAGATTGGAAGCCACTTGTCTATCTTTTTTCTTTCTTTTCTATTTTTCCTTTACTTTGTTTTCCTTTCCTGCACTTTTAGCTTTCTCTTTGTTTTCTTTTTTTTTTATTTTTCCTTTACTTTGTTTTCCTTTCCTGCACTTTTAGCTTTCTCTTTGTTTTCTTTTCTTTTTATTTATATTAGTTTGTATTAGTTTTTATCTTCTTTTAAAAAAATTTTTAATAACATTATATAAAAATAAAAATAACTGAGTTGATGTTTTTATATGTAGTATAATCAATCTTGTTTTTCTTTTTGTTCTTTCAGTTCCTTTTTTCTTTCTTCATTTTTTTCATATTAAAGCATTTTTAAGGAGTTCATTTTTCTGGCCATTATTATGCTCTAAGCCTCAAATCCGCAATTCTGTTTAAGCCAGATACTTGACATCACAACATTAGAAGTCTATAATTTGGGATGCACACTACAATTACAGTCTTGTCCTTGTCAGTCACTTAATTGTAATATATACATATATATATATATTCATTCATTCTGCAGTATAATTAAAGGCTTTTTAAACCAACCCAAAGTGCTCTAGATAATTACTAACTCTATAAAGATTAAAGTATTTTTTAAAAAATGCACAGGGACCCATTTGTTAAAGAGGACAGAACTTTGTTCATTTTGCAAAAAGGATAAAAGAAATGACTATTTTTTTCAAACAAGATTTTTCCATAACACCACTGTATTTAGAAAGCCATAAGAGCCGTCTCGCCTTATAAATTTAAAAAAAAAAAATTATTTTTAGTAATATTTCATATCTAAGAACCACGCTCATCATCACCCACGCCTTAGCCACTTCCCATTTGAACCACTACAACACAATCTATGTGGGGCTAGGCTTGAAGATCACCCAGAAACTTCAACTGGTCCAATATGTAGCAGTGCGTGCAGTCCTGAGTGCTCCTCATTTTGCCTGTGTTACACCACTGCTGTGTGAGCTGCACTGGCTTCCAGTTTCTTTCTGGGTAAAATTCAAGGTGCTAGTTTCCACCTTTAAAGCCCTGCACGGCACAGACCAGGTTATTTAAGAGATTACCTCTCCCCAACGACATCTAACCATCCCACCATATTGGATAGGGTGGGTACGCTCCAGTTCCCCTCTATTAAATGTTGCCATCTGGTGGGACCTAAGAAGCCAGCTTTTTCTGTAGCAGCACCTAACATATGGGACAGTCTCCCCTTGAGATACAGAGAGCCCCTACCATCCCTGCCTTCCGGAAGGCCATTAAGACCTGGCTTTTCTCTCAGGTGTTGGGCCAGGGTGGGAGATGAACCCAGCATTTCTGTTCTTGCCATGTAGTGTTATGGTGCCTGGTGATATGTAAGAGTTTTCATTTTGTTGTATTTTTTGTTATTTGTATATTTGGCTATTAGCCGCCTAGGGTTATTTTATATAATGTGGGCAGCCACATACATTTTTAAATAAATAAACCAACTGAATATAAAGGAAACTCTAGAATTTTAAATCTATAACTAACAAATAAATGTTAAACAAGGAAGTATAAAGGCAAATAACTATCCTAATCATTTTATGAAGAGGAATCAATATTATGGTATCACTGTTGGAAAAAACCTATTAAGCACAATTGTTGACATTCCACTAAAATACTACTGGATGTGGCCAACAATATATAGCAAATTAAGTTACAATCTGTAACTCAACTCAAAGTAATACATCAATTGAGCAAAGCCTGTCAGATCAAAACCTTCTACAGTAACAAATCTGTAGATTTGTTTAATTAAGGCTGTTTAATTTTTTTTAATGCCTTCAGACTTCCCTGTAGGAGAACAGAGATGGAAACAGTCAGGCCTCCCTTGGTAGGGAAGTTTATAGCCTTGGAGCAGCATCTTTCTCCAATTCCTGTCATACTGATCTCTTATTATGGCAGGAAAGAGAGAAGAACCCTTTTCCAAGGCCCTTGAACTGCAGACAGCCCCATCTGGAAACATGTCACTTTTCAAAGAACCTGTTCACATATGACATGTGCCATTATAAGCCCTAGACAGCACTTTAAACTGGGTCCAGAAACAGATCGATGGCCACGTCAATGAACTTTCCAACTTTCTAAAGGGAGCCACATATAGACTGCATTACAGTAATTCAAGCAGGATATAATTAAGGCAGGTATCACTATGGCCAGATCCAGTATCTCTATGAATGGATGCAGTTACACACTAGACTTAGCATGCAAATGTATTTCTAGCTGTCACTGAAACCTGAGCAAATTCAGGCCTAATCTAGGAGTACTCCAAATGCAATTCTGAACCTTTGAGGACTTTGTAATCTTGGCCAGATTGAATTTGCTGATTGCATTTTTTAATCAACTTATCTATCGGGCTTATGTGCTGCTCTAGCTACAGCTGACTGAGTGTAAATACCCA